AAAAAAAAAAATAGTGGAAAATGTAAATATAATTTCATCAACACTTTCAGTGACAGTTGCTTAAAAAGCCATTCTGGAGAAACAGTCAGGACGAAAAAATATCAACTTGTAGTTGGTACTGATAATTGACAAAACATTAAGTCTCATTTTATATATTAAAAATGAAAAAGCTGTATTTTACCATCTTAACATGTAGGGCTCCAAATTTGCTCATTAATTTTTTACCTCAATTTATTTTATTTTGCTGCATTATGAAGACATTTAAAGTACCGGGTAATACTAAATCGTCGAATGGGTTTTTTAACAACAACTTTGCAAACCTTTTTAGTTTGTTACAAAGACAGTTTTGCAGGCAGGCTGTATAGCATGGTAAGAAACATAACAAAACTCCCAAAAAAAGAACTTCAGTAAACAATCTACAGGTATTTTCCTCAGTGATACCAAGTTACTTTGGTTAATTGGTTAGTTTCTCCTGGATCTTCACTTCTTTGCTGCATACTAAGTTACGAGGCTTGTTTTTCTCCCCGGTAGTCCCATTTTTACAAGCAACATTCCTGCCCCCTCAACAATTTGGACTGCATCAGTTCTGCTATCTCCCTGCTTGTGGAGAAGGTGGTGTCGGAACTGCGAAGGGGCCAGCCTGTGCAGGGGCATTTGCAAAAGGGGGGGAAGGGCATGTCTGCTGGCAACGAGGGTGAGTAGATCAGTGAGGCTCAGTGTCTGCGAGCCGGTGATAAGATTCCAGGATTTTCCCAGTGTGACAGGCCAGCTCATGAGCCGTACACCCACCACATGACCCTCCCTGACTAACCCCCCCAAACACACACACAGCTCCGCCCTCCACCTCCACTTCTCCCAGGGTCCTTCTCCCCGGCAAGCAGGAGGCCTCAAACACCTGGAAACCTACCCCAAATCTCTTAAGGTGAGGATCTTAATCTGAGATACTTGTGGCGTTTAATAAGGGCACAGAACTGAATCTGTGTATTACTATCACACACTCATTTAACTCTTACTCTAGGTGTGCTGTCTCTTTCTTTCTCTCTGGCTCACTTCTCTTTCTCTATCTCTGCCTCTTCACCCCCCCTCCCCCCCCTCTTTTCCTCTCCCTTGGATGGCAGGTCAGGTGGTGAGCAGCGCGGCTCGGAGGAGGTAAGGACGCCGCGGTGCACATTAATAATGAAAGGCCTCAGCCACCACCCCCAGAAACACACACACACACATTCACCCCATCACGCACACACTCCCCCCATTGCCATGGCGATGGCACTAGCCCAGTGCTGTCACCTAGGGGGGAGGGGGGTGGAGGGGAATGTGTGTGTGTGTGTGTGTGTTGGGGGGGGGATTTGGGATATAGCTCCACTCTCCAGCTCTCTTCTTACAAAGCTGATCACAAGCTCGTACACAAACGCGCCACGCTGGGCCTTCCGCTGTGGACAGTCGCTAATTAAAACCACACTTTTGGCTGTGGAAGAAAATCCGCATCCACTTCCCCACCTGGATGGAAGGAAGCAGCTTTTAAAACAACACAGTCAGTCAACACTTTTCAGTACATGGAAAGAGAGTGTTTTTGCTGAAAACCCATCTGAATTTAACCAAGTTTTAAAGTATAGTCAAAAAGTTTATTTATTCAATTAATTAAATCAGATTCACATTAAAGGTGGAAGTAGACTGACCAAAATAAATAAGTTCTAATAAATTTAAAACATCACATAAGACCAATGAGGGATCTTTAATAGTAGCAGTAGTCAGCCTACTGGCCAACATGTCCATCAATAAATACGACTCATTCTTGGTTGGCACCCCTTGTTGTTTGAATTATTGCATCAATGTAGTGAATCATGGAGGCGATCAGACTGTGGATTTACTGAGGTGGTAAGTCAGCTAAACATGAAGAAGCAGCATTTAGTTCCTATGCTCCACTTATCTGGAACAAACTTCCAGAAAACTGTAAAAGTGCAGAAAACCTGAGTTCCTTTAAATCAAGACTAAAAACACATTTGTTTAGGATTGCCTTCGACTGTTCTAGTTAAATAGTTCGACTGAAACATCATTAGTTAAACTTTTATTTTCTTTAGTCCAACTCTTTTTATATTCTTTTTTGTTTCTGCATTTTTTTTCTACTTGCTTTGATTCTGTTTTATTTTCCTATATTTTAATCATGTAAAGCACTTTGCATTGTCTTTGTATTGAATTGTGCTATATAAATAAATTTGCCTTGCCTAGCTAAGAATCCTTTAATATAGGCCCTTAGCTGGTTTGCATTGTTGGGGCCGGAGAACCTTATCTTCTGCTTGACTTAATCCATATATTCCCAGGGTTTAGATCAGGCCACTTCACTTTCTAATCTAGCATAGTGAAACCAGTGTGCATTAATAGCTACTTTTGGCACGAAGTAGAGGTTGTCAAGTCATGCTGATTAAAATAATAGTATGTCAATAAATAGGCGCCTGCAGAACATGATGAAAACATAAGTTCGGTATATTGTTGTAAACCGCTGCGATAAAAGCAGTAGGAAGAAAAAAAGTTTTAAAGTCTATTAGTAATCTTACTATCAAGTAATCTTTATATATTACTGGCAAGCAGAATTGTAATGCATGTCACTTTAAATGTTATGACCTACCAAATGTTACATCAATAACTATTCTCCTATTGGGATATTATAAACACTTTAAATGAATAAAAAAGGTTGTATTGGACTAACATCAACCTTATAAATAGGGAAAAACATTAGGTGGTCTAAAAAAAGAGATTTTTCCTTTCCATAGCCCAGGTTTTCCACTCCAGACACAAACTCTCCGCAATCATATCAAGGCTTCTCCTTCCGCTTAATTTTACTTATGCTTAGAGACAGAGCTCTGTTAGCATTTTTAGCAATAGATCTGTGCTGCTCATCATCCTAATAGAGAGTGTCAATGACTGTTGAACTGTCAGGTCATATCAGCATCCTTCACAATTGCATCCAAAGGGTAAAACATGTCTTTGTCTGAATTTCAAGTTTTAATTGGTTTGAAGTGATATAAAATAAACATTTAGAATATATTTTACTATGTTGTGTAAAAAAAATCATATTTTCCATCAGCCTTGTTTTCACTGGAACTTTGATAGGCATCCAGCTCCAAACACTTTTATCCAGGCTTCCTCAGCTTCACTTCGGTAATCCATGACTGCCATCGATCTCCTGCATTTCAACTCGTGCTTTCTGACTATAAATGTCAGTGAGCGGAGCGAGTGTCACAAAGACCTCGAAAGGAAAGGAAAAATCATTGACAATAAACGAGATTTAGGAGGATTTTCACAGGGTTTTCATGCACTCTGAAGAAACACGGCAATCAAACTTGTTCTTATTCAAACATCTTTTAAATCACTTTGGTTACATTTTAGCACAGCAAGGCTCCATCATTCCAGTGTAGGAAGATTACACAGGCAGCAAGAATGGACATGGTGGGGATCCATGTTACCACCATCTTTCTTTTGCTTTTTAAGAGTTTTCTGAGGGTAAGAATTTATTTTCTTCTTTTCATGCCATCCAATTAAAAAAAAAAGAAACATTTCTCATAACCTGTGAAAAAATTCATTTTCTTACTCAAAACCGCTTTAAAAAAAACATGCAAATAGACAATCAGACAAAACATTGAAAATGTAAATTTTGACACAAATACATGCATTCCTTTTTATTCACAAAACAAGTCCAATTTTCTAAACAAATACAAAGATCGAGATGTTTTTTTGTTTTTCAAAAGCTGCAGCTACTTAGCAACTTAAAGAAAAAACCTCAGGAAATTTTTAACAAATAAATCAACAATTTAAGAATAAAAAAAAAAAGAAATGCAATCTTTACTCAGTGCGTTCAGTAGGGTAAACTCAGAGCAAGTGCTGTCTCTTGGTGCTATTGCCCTGAACAGTACTGGCACATGCTCAGTAGGGCCACAGTAACATAAGGCTGCCAGTTTCACAAGAGAGGAAAAGTCTGAAAATGAAAAGAAGGACTTATTAAGGAGATTACAGTAGTGATGACTTCAACTTAGGTGCTTTGCCCAGCAATAACATCCACTTTCATTTTCAACTTGACAGCCTCACATTTAGAATCACTTTCTCCATCCATCTTCAACCAACTTAAGCATAAACTAGACAATGGTTTAGGTAACATAACAGTGAAGAGTTACGATGTTTGCCATTAGCCGCTAACTTTTAGAATATAGCTGTAAATTTACATTCTCTACACAAGTACCAAATCTTTTCACACATGAACAACATTAACACCAAACACAGAAATTAGTTGATTGTCCACCATCTGTCCAAGATTTCTGTTTCTGGCAATGAGCGGTTCCGCGTTCAAGCGATAGAAAACAAACAAAAAATAAATCCAGCCGGGGGGAAAAAAAGGACAAAAAGGTAAGTAAAAATGAAAACAAAGAAAAAAGGAATGAAAAGTTGCCATAGATGTTTTTCTTTTATGCTTCATTTTTGGTTCAAGGAATAAGTAGGTGCATCCATAATCCGATGTTGTTGTTTTTTTTTGTTTTCTGCTTTGTTCTTGTTATTTTTTTATATAATTTTATTGTTGCTAGTTTGTTTATCAACCAGTGTCTGTTCCGGAGACAATCCAGGAGTTGGCATTGCACTTGATGGCAGAGCTTTGGGTAAGGACGAGTCCTACTGGAACCACCGGAACGCTGCTCCAGTAGGAAGCATCACCTTCTTGGAGAAACAACAGACAACAAGGGAGATGAGGGGAGGTGGAAAAAAAAAGACAGAAGAAGAGATCGTTAATGAATAGCAATGATTGCATATGAGTCTTTTTACAAACGTTAACCTAAGATAAAATAAAAAGCTGCTTAAAAATTTCCACATCATGCATGCACGATGTTCTCTAAATGTATCATATCTGCCAGATCTTTGTAACAACACTGTTTACTGGAGAAACTTTTCTTGAGGAAAAAAAAATCCAATTAATTTTCATTATCTGTTAGCCGTCAATTTACAAAAACAAACATCCCCCCATAGAAAATTTCCAAAATAGGAACAGACTACAATTTAAAACACCTTGTAGAAATATAGACAGCAATATAGATAGCTTAGGGAATTCTTTAAAATACATTCACACAATAATACTTGCACTTATACATATTTAAACAGTGAAAAACTCCGATCTTTTTTTTTCCTCAAAAACTAAGCAATAAAAGAACACAAAGAAACACTCTGTTATGTTTAAAGCATACAAAACTATGAAGTATTATGATTTTCATTAAAATATATGTACTACAAATAAAAAATAAAAAAGTCAATACAGGTAAAGAAAAAATGTTTAGAGAGAAGAATTCTGTATTTCATCTTTGTTAATCTAATGCAAATTACGGCTGCCTAGTAAGACAGAGAGCAAGAGTTTTAGCAGATAACGAGAGGCCTAATATAAGATCTTTGGTGAACATTTATAAGAATATGCCGGATTGGGAATATCAGTTTTTTTAAATCAAGGATTACATATATTTATTTAAATTTGTTAAGGGAATACACAATTTTACTACTTGTAAATCTGCTTATCACTAAAAATATCCACAGAAAAATACAACAACACCTTGTAGAAATATAGACAGTAACAACAGTGTTACTGGACATTATCCATACACACAAAAAATAGGCTTAAAGCTTACGCTTTACAAAAATCTGAAATCTATAATTGACCATAACTTCTAATTTGAATATACATTAGGGCTGCAACGATTATTTTGCAAATCGATTAATCTGTCTATTATATCTTTAGATTAATCGCAAAAGGTTCCTCAAAGAAGATTTTTTACAGAATTAAATCAGCTGAAACTAAAAATGTTCCACTTGAGTAGTTCTGGATAGAGCATATTGACAGATGAAAAGATTTTTTTTAATCTTAAATGCAATTTTTTAGAGTCCCTATACTCCAGTTCTATACTCCAGTAATCGATTACTAAATTAGTTAATGATTATTTCAATAATCGATTAATCATGAATAATCCGATACGTTTTTTTCAGCCCTAATAAGCATACTGTTTCTTTTCTTACCTTACTTTTTTACCATGCAGTGTGTTTATCATTGGCATCAGAAAGATTGTTTTTATGGAGACTTTTAGAGCTATTAAAACCTTCCAAGCAGAACATAACTAAGATTTACTAAGGATATGGTAGTTTTTCTACTATATCACATTTGTAATAAATTACAAATGTCACAACTGGACGACTATAAACTTTTACATCAAATTTCAAAAATGTCTGTTTGTATTAATACATCATTTAGAATCTAGAGTTGTTTAAGACAGAGATGGTCCTACTCAGTCTCTCACCTTGGATTACAAAAGTTTACATGTCACATCACTGATTTTTTTAAATACAAAGGGAATTAAGATTGGGTTTTCATCTTTAAAATTATAAAAAAAAAATAATAATAATAATCTTTATAGTTTGGTGGCATAAAACATCCATGTCAATAAGCTGATAGAATGGGTAATAAACTCAATTTTGGTTCAGTTTCAGAGTTTGACCCTTGATTAGCAGCAGCATGAGTGAAATCTGTACATCACTGCCCTCAGCAGAGTAGGAAGGCCTCTGTTCACAGAAAACCCAATACGTCACATTTATTATTTAGTCACCACACACATTGCCCTCCCACACCATCATGCATGGTGATGTTGCTTTCCATTCAGCCCCCCACCACCCGCCTCTGTTGCTGTGGTTATCAGCATGTCTCACTGCACTGAGCAGGAATGGCACACATGCATGCAGCTGCAAAGCTCAGCAGCAGCCTGCCAGTCAGGAGATAGAGAGCAGCTCAGGTCCCTGGAGCCAGAACGTGGCTGGCGTCCTGCAAAAGCACTCCTCTATTCTGCAGCACAGATTCTTCCGTTTGCCAGAACTGCCTGGAGTGAGGTGGTGGTGGTGGCAGAGAGGGAGGGTGGGTAGAAGCTCGGCAAACATTTACGTACCCACACACTCTCACATCGAAACCAATATGTATTCAAGTGCAGTCACACACCTCCACACAGTGGCACGTTAACCGGCTCTCGCAATACACCCCCAAAATCACACCAAACAGTGAGACTGTTGAAGTAAAATTCTCGTTTATGCTGGTATCAGGCTCAGTTTTCCCTCAGTATCCAGCAGCAGAGATTTTTTAAATAACGAACCAACCACAGACTGACTATAAACACAATTACAGGTGTACATACATTATCTATATGAAAAAGAAAGAACTTACTAGGCTTACTTACTAGCACAAGGCTCAGTTTTTACCATAAATACATTCAATTAGAAATCAATGATGAGCAATACGAACATAATCAGGCCACAATCTTTGGTCTAGCTCTCTTATAAGGCTGCTCAAATGCAGCCTTGAGTCATATCACCCATTAGATCAGAAAAGAAAACAACACCTGCCTGTTAATATTCTTGTTACGACAGTCCAGCAAGCCGTTTAAGGGGTGATAGGAGGCAAAAATATAAATACTTCACCTTTTCAGAATTTTCTGTTAAAGAGCAAAAAAGTAAAAATAGAGACTAATCTAAATTGAACAAACCTGAAAAAAGTACCATCTACTTTTGGTCAGATCAATGTATTGGAATCAAATAAGTTTTTTTAACATATGTGAGAAAATATGTGGTGGTTTTAGTGACAAAATCTAAAATTGACATTTAAAAAAACGCTTAAGCTTTCAGTTAATCTTATATGTTTTAAAGGACCCATTTTAAACACAAATGGCTCCGAGGTTAAGTGCCGACATATTGCAGTAGCGTCTCCTGCATCTTGGCAGTGACCTTTCTACAGCAGCGCTCAGCTGCTGAGCAGAGAGTTAGAGGACAGCAACATCTGGTGCTGCCACAGATGTTAAAAACCTGGTAAGGGCTGGACTGACCATGACGTAATGTGTGGGAGGAAAAACAACACGCCTGGAAATGAGCGGTAATGCTGTTTTTCCTCATCATGAAGTGTGTGCAATCAGTTGGGGTGGGGGTGTGTGTGTGGCGGGGGGGTGGAGACGGGATATGGAAGCATTTCAGGAATAGAAAATGTCTTTCCCTTCCTTTCTCAAAAACACTGATTGCTAGGGTTTGCATAGATGGGATCTGTGGGTGTAAAGAGGCCAATCACTAAAAATCAATGGATATGTTTTCCCCTTTCAGATAAAAGCAAATCCATTTGCTTACACATGACACAAACATTTTGCGTGTATTAAACCAAACAAAGAAAAATGGAAGTGATGCAAGTTCCTGTAAGCCAGTTTAAACCATTCTCAATTGGGCTTTTTGCTCCAGGGCAAAGCTGAGTGTTCAGATTATTGTTTACTTTGATTTGCCAAAAACATGTAAGGAAACAAACAGACACTATCAACTCAAAGCATCTCTAAGTGCTGAAGCATATTTATGATGTTATAATGTCTAGTCAGAAAAACAACGCACTTGACATAATTATTATTTATTGGCATTGGTAAAAAAGTCCAAATCACCCAACAATCTTTAAACATATTCCTCTTTTTTGCTGCTGCAGGATAATCTCTCACTGGTTTTAAAAGAAATCCAATCTTACTTTAAGTATATTTGTTCAATTTGGAAAGAATACCATTATAAGAAATCCAGTTAGGTAAATAATGTCCCATAAAAATAGAAATTGTTCATTTCTGTAGTACGTTTGGTTTTTCCATCACACGTCAATCAGCGTGTACCAGAACAACTCCCCGCTTTCTCTGGGCCTTAAATCCTTTTTTGTTTCTCTAAAAGTTGGGAGAGATTTCTGAAACATCGATGACAACATGCAAGCAAATGTGTACTGTTATCACATACTCATCCAGGAGCAGAGCATCCTACAAAGTCAATAACTGGATGCAATCAGCTTGATCATACAGAGAGCAAACGGTCTGTATGATCTGATTGAGTTGTCTGTTAAAAATGCCTTGACGAATTGACACTATTTAAATCAACTTAGCTGAATTAAAATTAAAAGCTACTCTTTAAAATGTAGACATAAAGAAGCAACCTAGTAACCAAATCTTCATCATGTAGTCAGTGCAAATATGGAGAGATGAGTACCGTTGGGCATCAAGAATCGATTGGAACCAGTTCTAACCTTTCAATTCTCCTGGAATTGTTTAAATTTAAAATCTTCAATTCTCGATTTTGATGCCCAGTCTGCCAAGCAGAAAAAAGCATCACTGAATACCAGTAAAGAAGAATATGAAGGAGTGGGTGAGCAATAATCTGTATAGGCTGCTGCATTTGAAAATGTGGCTTAAGGTGAATAAAGACATGACTAGTCAGTTACATGTGCCACTTGTGATGTGATTAGATCATGCAAGGGAGCAAGAGGTGGCCAACACAATTAAGCACCGATGGACTCCAGATTAGAGCTTTGTCTTTGACCTGCGGCACCCGGTTTTGTGCTAAGGTAAGGAATTTATAACCCCCCCCTGCAATCTCAGCGCTGCTTCTGCAGGGAGAGCAGTTTTTTTTTTAACCTTCCTTCCTTCTACATTACGTTTCATCAGATACCTTCCTTGTTGCCAATGTAATATTGATAGAATAAAATTCACTTCTATCTAAATCTTCCAGAGTTAAAGTATTTTAAGTAGAACTTTACTGATTGTTTATTTTATTTAAGTAAGGACGCTGAGGATATAAGCTCTGTAGGGATACCTTCATTAGCACAAAACACTGCTTTGTCCATTAAGCTCCAAAAC